AGGAAAGATATTTGCTGGAAGGCCAAGAACTGTGGGTAACTCTCTTCCTCAGTGTTTCTTTTTCCTCCTCTCAGCAGCAGCATCAGTCATGATTCATGTTTATTCCTCTCTCATCCTTGTCCTTTGTGATGAAGGTGACCACAGACATTTTGACCAGAGATGGGAAAGGCATTGCATTTGCAGACTATAGTGCTACCTGGAGGTACCATAGGAAGATGGTCCATGGAGCTCTTCACATGTTTGGAGAGGGCTGTGCCGCCATCGAAAACATCAGTAAGTACACTCCTGTCTAGACTCCTCTAAGATGATTCCTCTCACTTAACATAAACTGTAGACACTGTTTAGGTAGACTGCTTTACAGCATTACAGATAGATACTAGAAGTTCTGTCTGAAACAGATGCACAAGTAATCAGTTAAAGAGTCGATTTGCCCAGAGTGCAAAAATTGATGTTCTCCCTCCTGTAATAGCTCTCCATCCAGATGTTTACATTTATTTGTCCAGGTTTTGAAATGTCTTTGTTTGAGATTTATGTCCCCAATCCAGTACAGTAGAGGTGAATGGACTATGAAAGTATGAAGAACCCCACATGAAAATGTAGCTTTGAAGCAGAAACAGTGAGATTCCTCCAGAAATATCAAACTGGAATGTTTAAATGCATATGGGGAGTATAACTGGGAAATTGAATCCCACAATTAAACAGATGATTCAGGTCGAGGCTGCCACAGCTACTTATTGTCATTATCAATTAATCTGCCAATTATTTTCTCACTGATAATCAGTTTGGTCTATGCAATATAAACAGAGAATATGTGCAACCTTCACATAACCCCATCTTTGGTGCAGCATGACAAAGTGAAGTAAAAAAATAAAATTAAATAAAGAATTAGTGTGTGTGTTCATAGCAGTGAAGGAAAATGTCACCCAGTGCAACAGTGTGGCTTGTAGGTGTGTTTCTAATCAATTTTGGACAACGATGTTGATCTATGGCACAAAGAAATAAGATGTATTAGGCTTGACATACACACAGTAAGAATAACTGAATATTTTGGTAGGATATTTAGAGAGAACACATTCTAAACATGGCAGGAAGTGATGATGGTGCTCGATGTGTCCTGCTTAGTCTCTGCAGAGGCCCAGACACTGTGCTCGATCCTGTCCGAGGCAGCAGCAGCTGGACTGGCCCTAGATCTGTCTCCAGAGTTGACTCGGGCTGTCACCAACGTCGTCTCTTCGCTCTGCTTCAACTCCTCCTACCACCGAGGAGACCCAGAGTTTGAAGCCATGCTGCAGTATAGCCAGGGCATTGTGGACACTGTGGCAAAGGACAGCCTGGTGGATATTTTTCCCTGGTTACAGGTAGACAACCTGAACACTCTGAAGAAAAACTGTCCAGAGCACAGTTTGAATCTAGGAGATGTGACAATGATTAAAAAGACAGGAAGATACCAGGTATATACAGAAATATGATTAAAAGTACAAATCATTCTCTTTTCCACAGATTTTTCCTAATTCAGACCTGCGTCTTCTTAAGCAGTGTGTTTCAATCAGAGACAAACTTCTGCAGAAGAAATATGATGAACACAAGGTAAAGTTTTGTCTTGCTATTAATACTGCCTATGTTGTCATTAATGGCATAGAAATGGTTAAGCTCTACTGTAAGAGTAACATGCTACTACTGGCTAAAGGCCATACTGTACATGCCCCCTGTTATAGGAAGGCTCCTGGAAATGACTCCTGATATGTATTGTGTCAGTAATTATAGGCCGGCATACAGTGCAGTTCAACACATATGGAAGATAGGGAATACTTACAGACATAGGGACAAACTGACACTCAATTGAGGGCATAACATTTTACATTTAATTTAAAAGTACATGTACAACAAGGCTATAACATGACAAGCTATGGCCTTTCTTTTCTTTTAGCTAGTAGCAAAGAACAGCAGAATGTCAGGTCTTCTCTTCTGCCTTTCTCCCTCCTGCTCGCTCTTTTTGCGGGATCGACGCCCCAGCTGTGTCACTTTCTGTAATTAGTGACTTGTGGGTTGTCGTGCACAGCTGGGGTGTATTTCTGTAAAACCTTCCTCCTTATTTAAACCTCTGGCAGACGCTCCGTAGTCCCCGGAGCATTAAAGGATGTTAGACACGGAAATGTTGAGGAAGTATTGACAGGTTGAGTGAAGGGCGAGGTTTTTGTTTTCCTTGTTTTGTGTTTTATGGGGCCACACGTTGTTGGCGAACTTTCCTAGCCATGAGTAGCTGAGGCGTGGTTTTCCCCAGCCGTGGGTACCGGACGGCTAGTGCTTCAGCTAGCGCTACACTAGCCCTGTTCTTCTCGTTCCTGTCATCTCTCCTGTCATCTCTCCTGTCATCTCACCTGTCTACTCACCTGCCTTGTCCTGGTCCTCTACTCTCCTGTTTCCTGCAATCCTCCTACTCATCTGCTCGTCCTAGTCTCCTCAGCCATCCCTGCCCTACCCTGGTTATTGTACTATAGGTTGACTCTGTTACCTTGTTTGTGTTTTTTCCCATTAAACCACCTTTTTTTTTTTTACTAGCACCTTGGTCTGCATTCTTGAGTCCTACCTCAGCTCTCGCTCACCCTCCTGGTGAGAGGGACTAAA